TTACCTTAAACCGCATAAACACATTTCATTACACCAAATACACAAAATAATGTTCTTTTTAGCAACATCAAATGACCCCTTTAAATTTTAAATTCATATTTGAAATCACCAATGAAATCTGACAACTGTCTCATAAATGTTGTTTCTTTTGCTCAAATAGCATTAAAAAAGACTATTTTTCAGGCTAGATCAGCCAGTGCACATGCGCAGTCCTGAGCACACGTCTCAGAACACTGACTGTTTCTATAGCAACCGGGACTTCACCGATTAGCGATTGGCTCTTTTACTCAGAAGGCGGGGCTTCGTTCGATAGAGCGGCCATATTCAGCGTTGCATTTTTCCCCTTTCAGAACTATACGAGTTACACATCTTGGGTATTCTATAGTCTTTGGTTTTCCGTAGAACCCAAAGCCACTAGAAGGCAAGCCTGCAACCTTTAGCCAAAAAACTGGCTAACGTAACGGTTAATGCTAACGCTTCCGGTTTGCCAGTATGTGGGAAAGGAGACCAGAGGCCATTTTTTTAATGGATGTCAATGGAGGAGTGGCTTCACTACGCTGAATAAACAGCTGTTTAGAGGAAACAGCTTATCATTTACGAAATCGACAGCCTATCAGCTAATCTCCAACATGTTTTACACTAAGCAATACTTTTGGATTGGACTATTTTTAGAGTTTACACAGAAAAAAATGGCGTTTTATGAGAGAAGTCACTGACTTTTTGCGACAGGTGAGATACAGCTTACGGCACTTCTCATTTATTCCAGTGGTATTCGTAAACGGCGATTGAGTGTCGCACAACTCACACTGAACAAAATTCAGAAAATAGCACAGACACTGGACTAAAGCCCAAGGTATACTTCAGTTTTTTTATGCATACGCCAGCATATGAGTACAGTTGAACGTGTAGTCTTTCAAAGTATACTCCATTTTATAGCGTGCGTGAACGCAAGCCCTTGACACATACGCTCTGGAAAGCTTCCGCTTTGTCCAATGTCTGTCTGCTCTATTTTTCTCCAGAAGTTATGACTGATTAAAAAGTCTTTGTACTCTTTTTAAAGGGGTCATATGATGTTGCTAAAAAGAACATTATTTTGTGTATTTGGTGTAATGAAATGTGTTTATGCGGTTTAAGGTTAAAAAACACATTATTTTCCACATACTGTACATTATTGTTTCTCCTCTATGCCCCGCCTTTCTGAAACGCGTCGA